AACCAATTTTTTTTAATTCATATTCAAAATTTCAGAAAATATTCGTAGACAGAATCGATTTATTTCTCTATATTCCACATATCAAGGTAACGTTTTATGTACTACCTTGAAATTGTATTGAAAAAATACAGCTTCGAAAACTTCACATTGTTCTTCCATAGCACAAAAGAAATTGAAGATGTCAAATGTCATTGAAAATGTACTATTCAATGGCACATCAATTGTGTGGTAACCATAGCAAGTGAGTGAGTGATATGGCAAAGAACATGACACCCGTGATGACAAAATATTTGAAAAGGCCATCCCACTACAGAACAAGTATTTTCTACGCAAATATTTTTGTGCATTTGCTAAAGTTCAATAATTATGGTTTCACCTAAATGTGGTTAACCAGAGCAGAGTAACATTCGACACTACAACAAGAGAAGCCGCCCAAAAAGAGTTAATCAATTTTGTATGAGAGAAAAAAGAAACAAACAAAAAAACCTAAAAAAAATTTATTCAAACCGAAAATCTATATGAGAAACAGTAAAACCAACAATAATAATACATTTCATTTCCTTTAATGAAAAATATATGCCTTGTAAACTACGACAGGTTTGTTGTCTAAGTCTTTTGTTTTTCATATGTAGACAAACAAAAGCACCTTTGATTGCAGTGTCTCAATCCCTGATTTTTTACATCAATAAATCTGAAACTATTTAAGTGTTTTAATTATTTATAATCGCTTCTAATCACATATATTTATGACATTTTAAATCGTTCAAATGATTATTACAATAAAAAAACACTCTACCAATTGGAGCCATAAAAACAAGAAGAAACACAAAATTGCTCTTTATGCTCTATTATAGAAAAAAGTTCTCACCGTTTAATGGCGTTTGATCTGATTTTCGTTTGTCGCTGTTGCGATCATTGTTGTCTCTAATTAATAGTTGTTGTTCTCTCTCCTAGAAATTGTTATTGCCTTAGAATTACGTGCAACCTTGGTAAGTATTTGAATTAAACTTCATAGTTATTTTGCAAAGGAAACTCGGTCAGACTTAAACGCATAATAGCTGGCAACAACAACAGAACTGATTTCCATGCCGCCACAACAATTTGTTTTATTCCAAAACAGAGTGCTAGTTTTTTTTATTACCTCTTTAGAATAATTATTTAAATTTTCTTTTTATTATTTATTTTAGAAAATTCACACGATTTATTATTTCATCTAATTGAACTCGTTTGTGTCGTCATCGGCGGCAGTTCATTGCAGTTTAAGTTCGAAATCATTGAATATGAAATTGATGATGGGAGATGGAAACTATATTAATATTAAAAACCAAAACAAAACAAATTCTAAGATTATTCTCAGCCATTTGATAGCCAACCATTTGTTTGAGGCAGGCATCTGATGTTTGCCAACAACAGCAACAAATGTTCTTACCATAATTCAAAGTCACACCAAATGTTTTGAGATCCATTATAAGGTTTCATTGACAAATGTTTAGGTCTTTGCGAAAATTGTGGGCAATTTGTTTGAGATCGATGGCAATTGAAGGGTATGATCATTGGAGATAATGAATTTGTGTTTGTGTAATCGATATGATTTAGTTTTTCTTCAGTGGGGTAGAAAATTGTTCTAAGATTCTAAGGGATGGAGATGAAAATAGTGGGACAAAAAAATATATATAACATTTAAAAAGGATATTTTGCCACAAATAAAAAGTAATAATCTGAATCATATGATTCATTTTAAACATATATCAACATTGAAAATATAAAAAAAAATTGGTATCAAATTTAAAGAAAACCCAATACAATATTTTGATATAATAATATTTTGATAAGAAGCATGTACCCTAACTAAGACTATATTAGAACATATGAACCAATCCATGTCCTCATCCACAAAGGGTGAGCATTTTGAAAGAATAGATCTGAATAAATTAAGCCACCGAATTGATTTAAACATTCCACCTCGGTCTAATATTTTTACCAGTAGGCCTATTCTGTAACTTTTTAACAATATTCGATATTGTTTACTTTACAACAATTTCATTTGTTTGTTTTATTGTTTTTACAATAACAAAAGAAAATTAATTAATGTCGAATGTTGTTAAAAGTTGCAGAATAGGTCTACAGGTCTAATCTGAAGAGTGGAGCGGTCGGTTTACGCACATTATTATTTTCCCTATAATTTATAGGTTATTTACACCGGATAGTTCTGTGTCTAAAACGACGAAATATATGTCTAGGTTTATAGACATTTTTTTAAATTAGATTACGTCAGTGGGTTTGTATTCCCATATTCTCAAAAGGGTAGATATCCATATTCTATCGCTCTATCACCGTCAACACAACTAATTTGTTTGTTGCTCTAATCTGTTTCCATTGTTGTGAAGTTATTAAAAGTTTGCTTGTCTGAGTTTGTGACACTACAAAATATTGGACATAGAAACACGTTTTATAATGCCGATAGACTTTTTTAGTCGCTCTATGACCTGAATACCTCGAAATATTAAAAGGTGATATTTCTTAATAGGTGAAAGAAATCTCGATCTTTATGTTTATCCAATGAGGAGGACCGAGAGAAGTTCAGTGGTAGTTGTGTATGGTATTTTACTACTATATTTATGCCCTCAGAATAGCCATAAGGGTATATACACTTCGATACGATGAACATGTGCCTTTTCGGAATACTGAGTTTAGACCCCATGTTAGACTAAATCCGTTTCAGGAAATTTGGAGTCTATTTGCAAATGTCCGTCCGTCCGTCTGTCTGGCCGGGTGGTGCAGGGAATAATCGATTTCATCCAAACTCTGCACATCTTAATATTTCTTCCAAACTTAGTTAAATTACGAAAATTTCAGGCGAATGGAATATTCGATTTGACCAAACATTACACAACGTATTATCTCTACCAACCCTAGTTCAAGTAGGAAGATGGAATTCATTGGTGCACTCCTTCTGATACCTCTCCCATAAAATGACAAAATTGTCAATACTTATAAATCCAATTTCAGGCGAATAAGATGTTTGATTTGAGGCAAACCTTGCACAACCTATTATCTTTACCTTACTCTGAAGATGGGCCCCATTGGTTCACTCCTTCTGGTACAACCCACAAAAATGGTCCAAATTTTCAACATTCATAAATCCAATATTAGGTGAACGAAATTTGAGACAAGCTATGCACAACCTATTATTTCTACCAAGCCTAGATAAAGTGCCAAAATGAGACCTATAGCACCACTCCTTGAGGTACATCTGAAGACTGGACCTATTGATGCACTCCTTCTGTTAAATCCTCCACAAAAGGTCAACATTTTGACTTTTTACTTGCTTTTGGAAATCATCCATTATAGATGATTTTATTCATATTCATTTCATATTACCATAATTCAAGTAAAAATAGTCGAAGAAATTATATTTAATTTCCTCTTGTCCTTCAATTAATAAAAAAACATGTTCAAAATTGCAGACATCGAGCATAAGGCTGGCTTTTATTTACTTCTAATTTGACTAACAAAGAGGTTACAGCAATTTTGCCAAATTGATTTTTATCTAAATACTCCAATGGTTTATTTAGTTTAGTGACGTATTCATTCCATTTCTATTTTCAATCAAAATGTATCACTGCAAAATTACCCATTACTTTTGCTTATTGAAAATACGTAATTGAATGAGTAATAAACACGGAATGTCAGTTTAAATGCATTGAGAATGAAAGTATTTTACCTTGATCTTGTTTCATATTTATTGTGGGCCTGAACTTTCATAACAAAACATTCAGTAAAAGTATTTTCAACAGATGAAGTAATAATAAACACATTTTTATTGTCGCTTGCCTATATTAGTAAACCACATTTTAGTGACCTTTAATCTTTAAATATAGAAAATATATTGAATAAATTAATTGTTTTTTTTCTGGTTAAAAACAAAAGACTTAAGACATAAACATCCTGTATTAGTTCCACTGAAATAAAGTGAGGTAATGTCAAATTTATTTATTTATTTTTTTTTTTTTTGTTTGTTATTTTTAAAGATATGTTATCAAATGTCGATTATTTAGTAGAAATTATAATATTTCCACAAACATGGATAGTAAAGAAGGACAATTAGAAATAATAAGTACGCTTCCTACTATGCCAAATGCAATATTCATTTTCTGCTGACAGTTTTTTATTGACAAAATCAAATGTCCTTTTCCACAAGGATGTTTGTACATCGCATTTAAATAAAATTCAAAATAATATAGAAATATATGCATATCGAAAATCTTTTTTTATAAAACGGATTTACAAGAATAAAAATGAATTATTTAAAATCTAATTAATATATAATTTACTTTGCCACCAGACTCTTTGCCGCCTAATAACTAAATAAAACATTCTCTTAGCCATAACCACAACATATCTTTCATTGTAAAAAATAAGAGAGAAAATATAACTTTACTCTTCACTGCTGTTTCACCTGACAATGTTCATTTGAGTTGTATGTGTGTGTTGTTGGGCTTTCAACCCTCATTGAAAATACAGAAAAAAAACTGTAGTGCTGACTTTAACAATGATCTCTGCGTCACGGTTTTCTGATTTGTTGCCAGTGGCTAAAACAGAAGCCGGCAGTTAGCTTCTGGCATTATTTACTCATTTTTTCTGACGAACAAACACACATACACATTTCCAAATGTATTGTCTTGAAATGGAAATCTAGAGAGTATGTTATTTGTCTCTGTGTGTGTGGGATATGCTTAGGTTTTATGCTGTTGGGATTTTTCGTTTTGGGGGTATAAAATGCAAACTTGATCTTAGAATTGTTACAGTATTCCGGGCAAATTCAAAGTGTTCAAAACGGTGCCAACGAAATACTTGAAGTAATTTACACTTTATTATAAGATTTGTTTGTTAAGTTGTGAAAATTAAAAATATGTGTTGATAAAATATAACAATTTAATAATTGTGTTTGTGTTTCAGAAAACGAATCATCACATTTTGTGTCAACTCAACGAATACATTTAATCCAATAACAAAAGAAGAAAATGTCTCCCATCAGCAAAATTGTTATCCTTTGTGTGGTGCTAAGTGCTTCAGTGGTTAATGCACGACCAGGTTATGCGGTCGATTATTATGTGAGTGAGAGAATATGTAATTATGAAACAATAATGGACATACAATTGGAATAATGAAATCCTGATTAAAGAAATTTACTATATAAAATGTGTTATTTTATGAATTATGGAAATTCACATTGAACTTCCATATTTGTCCTTTTTTATCTATTGTTAATATACTATACAAATACTCTACGGGGTCAACTATCATAAAAAATAATAAAAAATGCTAAAGAGTGTTCTGAAGCAGAAAGCTAACGCAGAAACAATTCCAAAAAAATAAAATCAATATAAATTGAAGTAAAACATATTTTTTTAAGTACATATTTTTTAACATCAATAATAATTAGATAGAATGTCAAATTATTTTTTAAGATTTTTCCTAACAGGATTGAAGCCACATTTATCTTAATATCCGGGTTGTATTTTTTTTTTTTTTTTTTTTTTTTTTTTTTTTTTTTGGTTAAAAATGAACTTCCAGCAGGTATTTTTTTATTTGAAGCAAAAAAATTAAAATAAGGATAACCAATTGGTTTAATGGCTTTGAGTTTTTAAAATTTTTATGGTATAATCTTGAATAGTTAAAGGTTTCAATTTCAAAAATTATTAATTAATTTTATGTTCTAATTAAAATAGAAAATAATAATAAGCAGCTTCGAATATGGAAAACTAAACACCTGTGATTTTAGAAAATATGTTTCACAATTCTTTAATATTTAAATCCTCAGACTTTATACACAAATTCTTCAGAACTGAAAGAAATCTTTCCCAAATGGTATACAACAGTCGTAAATGTAAATTTCCAAATAGTAACCCGGGAGGTTATGACCCGGGAGCTTGACAAATAGATTTGACGCATTTTTTACAATTATTTTAAGTGGAGAGATCCTTCATAATTGAGGACTAGTTATATATTCTGAGCAATATATTCCTAACTTAGCATATTGGGCTCCAAATGATTGGTACCACAAGACCACAAATAGCTTAAATAGTCCACGTTTTAATAAGGATCAACTTAGGCTATTATAACCTTTCGTTCTATGTTAGTTATAGTATTTATTTTATTACATTACATTATTACGAATTTTTACGAAAAAATATTCTTTTTCAGGATCATCCCAAATATGCCTTTAACTATGGCGTTGCTGATCACACAACTGGCGATGTCAAATCACAGCACGAAACACGTGATGGTGATGTAGTAAAAGGTAACAAATACATCCCTCCCTTCCCCTATGTCTTATTTTCCATAACATTTTCTAACAAAAATTTCTACTTTTCAGGACAATATTCACTGGTAGAACCTGACGGCTCAATACGTACCGTCGATTATACTGCCGATTCCATTAATGGTTTCAATGCCGTTGTAACCAAATCAGGACCCACCGTACATGCTCAAGCTGTTGTGGCTAAACCAGTGGCTGCTGTTGCACCCGTGGCACATGTTGCCCCTGTGGCTGTAGCTCCCAAGCCAGTGGTGGCATATCAACCTGCCTACAAACATGTGGCACAAGCGCCAGTGTATGTGGCATCATCTGCACCATATGGTAAGTTGTAGCTTGGAAATAATTATCAATAAATTAAGCTAGAAAAATTGTCCCTTGTTTGAGTTAACAAAGAAAACAATTCTTCCCGCCTGCACCCTTAAGCACCTTCTAAGAAAATGAAAACAGAAACAACAATAATAATCTATCAACGTTTGTAGTTAGTTGCTGACAAAAACAGTAGTTGGCTGTAGAATCAACAACAGCGGTGTCACTTTGCCTTTTCCCTCTTAACACAAATTGTCTGCCCTACCCCCACCATAGAACCACCACGCTCTGCCACTCTCCCCCACGTCAAATAAATATTATACAACACCTTAGTGGCTTTGTTTTTTGCAAAACATACACACAATAAATTGTGTGTTAAATATTCCTAAATAACACAACAAACAAACAAACAATTAAATAATTGTTTTGTATTGTTCTCTTCTCTCTTCTTTTTTCCATATCCGACAAACGTCGATTTTCACACACAACACCCAACCGAACAAACAAACGAACTGCATTGACACACTCACATGCATCGCAACAACATTTCCCAGATGCAGGCATTGACACATATCGTATGTTGAAGTTATTCCGTCGCCATGCCAACTACTTTAATGGCCAGAGCCTGAAATTACGACCCGAGGAAGATCGCCACGAAGAATATGATGATTATTCGGAAGATTATCTGGATTATTGAAAATAGAATTTTGTTACGAATCAATTTTCTGTTTTTGTATTTGGCGTTGTCTCTTGTTGTTTTTTGTAGAATAAATCGATGTTAATTGTTTTTAAAGGAAATGAAAAGTAGAATAAATTTATTGGCCTAAGGTTCGATTAAACAATGGAAAGTGATTGTTGTATATTTGCAAACTAGGAGGAAGTGTGCTTTTCAGTCACTAATATCATAAATTTTAGGAAAATGTTTGAAATTAGAGATTTCTATTTTAGCATGACCTGCTGTCTTTCCAGACATTAAAATATCAACTAAAATTTTGTATACATACTCTAAAGATTTATCGCCTCATTGCAATCCCAAAAATTCGCAATGACAAGCGGATAAAAGAATTTTCAAAGGTGTTCTACAAAAATATCAAATTATAAGAATCATTACAAATTCGGTCGTCTGTGATGGTGTTCATCGGACATGGTGATGCTGGTGTTTGTTTTATGATTCATTATTTATGGATCGATCGCCAGGAATTTGATTGTAGATTCTGGTCTACCCCAAGACGACGTTGGTAATGATACATTGATATTTCTGATATCAAATGGATCATTAATTTTTGTAAGTTTTTTTAGTCACAAAATTTTATAAGGGTCACGAAATTTTACAGCGGGTCAAATATGGCGAATATTTTCTCTTTAGGAAGACACGATGTACAAACATTGGGAGTACAAAAGAGATGTTGACCTTAAATCTGATATGAATTCTGCTGATCTTAAGGATGTACTGATAAAAAGGATGTGAGTGATATATTAAAATTTGCAAAAGGATCCCGAGGATAAAAATATCGCGGAATATTGCCAGAGTCGGGATATTGCTCCGTAGACTATACTGCATCGCTTCGTAGTGTAGCACATGTTAAGTCAAAAAGAGGAGAGGTTAATCACCCCCATGTTTAATAGTTGTACATATACTTCATGCTAGACGAGATCCATAATTGTGACTACAGAGGGAATTTTAGCAGTGTTCGGTTGTGATTGAGGTCAGCTGTTTTCTTATCAGCACATAAGTGGTTGGATGGCGTATTTTCGTTTAAGTTTTCAGTCGAGGATGACTTCGAGCTATTTAACTTTAGTTTATATGGCGAGCACTTTGATTGGAAATAATCACACATTATACTGTTAATGTCCCTCGACCTCGTCTAGTTATATGCGATATTCGAATCCGATTTAGATTCCCCATATGTATTATTATACCATTAGCATAACAAACCCCTCCTTAAGGTTTGCTATGTTCTACTTTGCCCCTGATGGTTATGTAGTGTAGGTTGCAGCTTAACCTTATATTTCATAGCCATATGCTGGGTGTCCTTGGGTTCCTGGTTGACTCGAAAAACGTCTTAGATTAGAAAAGTTTTTCGATGTCATTGAAACAATGTTTAAAAGCACATCGATGTCGATTCAAAGCACTATTGTGTACAATTTGCTTTCGGAAAATGTTTCAATGTGGAGTCCTACATGATGTAGAGCCGTTTTCACTGATTTCGTGTTCCAGCTTATAATAAGGAATATCATTTTTTATCACAGTGTTACTGAGCGTCATTGACCAATAAGTCCGAGGTGCTATTTTATCTGCCTTGCAGAGCGTGAGAATAAAGGCAGCCTCGTCTTTTTGCAGGCTTTCGAAGTATATGCAAGCATTACGCATTTGATAATATGTAAAATGAAGTATGGTGATAAAAAGTCCACTCATTTTATAATGAAGCTGGAAAGACGCCTGGTAATATTGAATCATGCATTTTTGGTTGTTCTGAACTTTTTTTCTTCAGTTGTTTCCACCTTTTTACCCTCATCTCCCATAATAGTTAGCTATAATTTCCAGAATAATTTCTAGTAGTTTTGTTTAACTGTTTTTATAATTTTTATCATCTATCACAGATCTATCTTCGGTCCAAATTATTTGGTGGTAATGTTCAGTTCCACTGGCATTTTAAGCTATAAAGCCTTGTCCTGTTTATATGAAAATTTATATTTTCATAAATTTCTTAATAAATTAATTTTAGTGGCCACTGGCCAATTTTAATATTTGTTCAAACAGGCATTAACAGACATTTAATTACATTTTATTATTATTTTGTTTTTATATAATCACAATCAACTTATGTATATAATTTTTCCCATATTTTAAAAACTAGGTTAATTAAATTCTAAAATAATAAAGTGGGGAAAAATTTATTCCCACTGCTGTATTGTGCCGTAGCTATTCGCTACTATTCGTTCAATTGAAAGTAATAAACAAAAAAGTGTACATGCCACCACCTAATGACGCTGGCAGGTATTACGTATTATACTTCTTACTGCAAAGCTAGACATTAAATTATGCAAATCAATGGAAACAGAAAAAAAGAAAATCCAAACAACAATGATACCAGAAAAAACCCTGGTATTCTGTAAAACAACATTGAAGATGATACGCTTCTGTAAAAAAACAACACACATTGTGACATAATTACCATGTGAGATATTTCTACAAAACAAAAAAACACAATTTGTGCAACCGAAAAATCTGGAGCAATGTTCAGTTCATTATGCGCTAATGATTAGTCATAGTGTCTGCAAGTGTGGCACAAAAAACCCCACAGAGCAAGCTGGCATTCAATGCATGAAGATATAATCAAAAAACAATATGCCTCACTTTGCAAAGAAGCGGCGGACAATATAATTCACTACACCAAGAAACAACTGACTCAGTTCTCTGCCTCAAGTGTTGACGTTTCGTTTTGAATTTAATTACAAACAATTACATTGAGATTCATTTGTCAGAGACTCCTTCATATTTCAATGTTTTAATTATATGTTTCAATACTCCCATGTACGGGTACATTTGACTTGTATCTCCCCAATTTGGATGATAATCATAACTTCTGTGGCAAAGATTTTGTCACAGTGCAGAGTTCCACATTTGGTAGCACAAACGAATAAAAAAACACAACAATGAAATCTGCTGTTGTTGTTGGTGCTGATGCTACCACAACCAACAGCCGTCATAGTTCTCCACGCTTGATTTCATGGCATGGGAGTTCTGTAAGTAAAATTCCCACCATGTCATATTTTCAAAACCTTGTTAAACATTTGTAATACAACTCAATTAGCTAATTGAATATTCCTCCCCCATTCACTTTATCTCTGTCTTTTTGCTTGTTTTCCATTTACAGTTCATAAATCATATGTTGCTCCCGCACCCATACACTACGACTACGATGATGGCTACTACAGCAATGGTCAATATGAATATGTGCCCCATTATGGATCTTATGGACATCAACATCAGCATTATGCCGGCCACTATTAATTCGCCTACTCATCCCACTGGCATTTTAAACCATGACTAGTACAAGTGCTCTTCTTTCTTCAACCTTTATGTATTCACATTTTATTTTATTATAAAAAAAATTATTATTCGACAATTTATAATTAAATGTAGTTTACTTATTTTCACTTTCTACTTTCTCTTAAAAATTTTTTTCGAATTAATATTTAAGTTGCATTGTAATCTTCTTACTTCTTTTATATTATATAACGAATTTAGTTGTTAAGTTTTGCAAAGAAAACCAAATTAAAAAATAAAATAAAACGAAATTGTTTATACGATTTACATTTATTGGAAGCCAAGCTGTTTTACTTATAGTAGGGAAGGGCACAGAAAAAACATAAGCTTTTTAAATTGAGAAAATAAAGGATATACACTGCAGATGTAAACCTTTATTTGAAAAAAATGTAATAATTTAATTCAGTATTTTTGCATTTTTCGTGGAAATGGTCAGAATTACGATAATGATAATGACTATTGGTTCATAGCACATAAAATAAGTGGCCTTGGGAATACAATATAGCGTTTTTATATGATTTTCTAATCATTGGGAACCTGAGCCTTCCGTCTAGGCTCAGGTTGTATGCCTAATATATTTATTCAGTAGTGTTGGCGGGTTATTTGGGATATCAAAATAATCAGGAGTGATCCCAGTTTGTTGTTTTATAAAAAACAAATATTTATTAGTGGAAAAAGTATGACATTTTCCATAGATCGGATTTCGTCACTGATCCCTTTCAGTTCTCTTACTTTTTTGTTGGGGATATTCTCCCCAGAAGCTATTTACAGCTTCTTTACAAAACCCGTTTATATTTAATTAAGCAAAGATATAAACTTCATGAAAATCTCGCTGGTACCTCACTTCGTGGGTAACAAGACCATACTTTTCTCTTACTCTGAAAAGCATAACCTACATTATATGCAAATTTGCCGAACATTAACAATATCTAAGCGTCACAACAACTTCGAACTGTATATAACTTTATATTTCATTATGGAAAATATTACAAAAATGGCTCTGTTCTATAATTTATACGAAATTTATTGGTGTTATAAAGTTAGTATTTGGATCGTAACAATTTTAGGGTAACAGTAACAGTAGGGATCGGGTAACAGTTTTCATTTCCATACTAATTTCCATTTCAGGCCTTTGGAAATATATTTTATGGTGGTATTTAGAAGGACAAAACCCCCAAAAGGACTCGAAATAGAAAGAGGATATGTTTTTTATACCTGCAAGACACAAACAAATATGTAAAGGTTTTTTTCATGGTCACGTAATAACACAAAAAATCGACCTGTTGAAATATTGCCCTTCTGTGTTTTCATCCCCATAAGGAATAGCAAGATTTCTGTAATTAATAAACGGTATGAAATATTGGTCCTAAGCCATTTTTAAAGTATACCGTTAACCACAACTTGATCTAAATCGTTCCAGCCATGTATGTTCGTATGTCTGTCTGTGAAATTTTTCATGTCCTTTCTGTCGAAGGACATCTAATTGACCACAAATTTATACTTTTCTGGTACCTCTATAACCTGAACCTCAAGATATTTTACAGGGTAAATGAGACCAGATCATATGATTTATTTTGTGATGATCGGTCAATATTTAGCGGGCCAAAAGAACCAAGAAAAGTAGTCGGTGGGATGGACGACATTTAATCTGATATTAATTTTATTGAAGCGAGATTTCGGTATGGGATATGTAAAGGGGACTACATATTTATAATTGTTTTAATATTACAATTACGATACAAGAGAATGCAATTATAGCGAAATTTGACGCAATCGAAGTAAATTACATTTTAACGTGAAACTAGCTGAATACACTGGACAATCCAGCCAGGACGGCAACCAAAGGGTTATACTATGGTTAATTGCTGCCAGGAGAATACGAAACACCAAATCACAGTCTCAGGTTCGAAAACATACCGAAAATGACTGGGCGGTAGAAAAACATGTCACAAATACTAACAAATAGGAGTACCGTTCTGTGGGGGCTACGTCAATAGACCAATATTTACATTTTGGTCGGAAGATATGCTACCCAAGGATAATTCAAAATACTAAGTATATGGAATTCGTTGAAAAATTAGCCAAAACTGCCTAAAAATCTTAAAATTTAAATAAAATATAATTTTAGGTTGATTAGCTAACGAATGAGAATTCAAAATATTTAATTAATGCCAATTTGGTTGAAATAACAAAATCCCCAAAACATCGAATAATTATGGTACATTTATGCGGGGACTACCGATTTGCATATTTGGGTAGAAGAACTCTAAATAACAAATTATCAATTGGGTTGCCCATAATTCTGTAATTTGGAGGGTATCGTCATATAAGGGCTTCCCAAAAAAGTGAACCGAAATAGGTAATTTTTGATTTTTGATCACTTTTGGTAGGAAAATGTGCTACTCAATGAGAACTCATAATAATACGTTCTAGGAGTAGTAGTAACGTATGTAAAAATTTTCAAAATTAATATACAAAAGTTACAGTTTAGTTTAGTGTATGAAATCCAGGTTATTAGTTAAAGAATCATCCTCCTGACTATTAGTTCAAAAGTTATATAACTTGTACCAAACTTCATGTGAATCATCCTCCTGACTATTAGGTCAAAAGTTATATAATTTGTACCAAACTTCATGTGTTTATTTACGCAAAAAAATGAAACTACTCACATGAGTTATATTTTTAACGGAAAAAATAAAAATCATTTTTAACAGTAAAAATTCAACGTTTAATTTTTCCTTTAAAAAAATAATTAAAATGGATGTTTTTATGTAGTTTTTATTTTTTTGATATTATTTATAACCGTTGCGGTCTCTGCGTTAAATACCACCGATAATTTAGATGTTCTATCGTATAGCTCAATTCCGAGATGTTAAGAATGGAATGACAATTTTATGTTCTGGTGGAGTGTATTGAAATATTTTCTCAAGTTCAAAAAGAAAAAGGCACCGTCGATGTAATAATAATTGATTATTTATGATTTAAAATGTAACAAATTATTTGCTTATTCATACGGAATTTCGTAAACAAACCCATATTCAAGGTTGTCTATAGCAACAAAGAAATATATTTTTTGCATCCAAACTATAAAATGTGTTACAATATTGTGGCAGAAAAATTAAAATAAAATCCAATTACAGCACATCTATAAAATAATGCAAATATTGTATCGATGCCATAATTTGCAATACACTGTAGGCATATTGATCGTTTTAGCATATGGCTATCTTCAGATGAGTTTAATTTTCTAACAACACATCACTATTTTTTATTAACACACTGAATGTGGGTTGCATAATAACATCATTTACAAGTTATTTCTCTATTAGGAAAATTTGAATGAGCTAAATGTTAAATGAGATGTAGAGAGCTAATAAAACGAAAAATAAAAACAAAATAACGAACAACAAAATATATATCATCGGAACACACCGATTTGCTTTATTTAATTTTTATTGCGTTGCTCTCAAATATTTGCATAGAAAAGACTTTTTCCACAAAGTAAGCGGCTAACTTCCTTTTAATTGTTGCAAATTTATGCCATTGTTACATTTTCATGGTCTGTTGTTACCAAAAGTGTTTTTGCCGGTTTGCTTATTTTCACGCAACTTTTTACTTAGCTAAACAACATTTTAAAAGAAAATTAGGTACGATAAGACAGTAGATATGTAAGATGTTAATAAAATACACTGTAACTGTACACTGTTAACATTTATTTTGCGAAGCTTTTAATGAACTTTCAAGTACAATGTGTTAAAAAGCTTAAAGCTTGTATTTTATATACATTGAATTATATTTCTGTTAAACCTGTTTTGGTTTAAATCCAGGTTTAACTAAAACTTTTATCCAAAACAAAAATTTAAAGAATACCTTCAGGCGATCTTGTATATTAAGATATTCTAAACAAAAGACTTAAGCAACGAACTTTACAATTGATTTAAGACGACTGCGCGTTTACAATAATTGTTGTTAGCATCGTAATCTAGTCGCTGATTGGTTAATTTTTCTGAACCATCTCTGACGTTGTCCGCTTCTTAATTGTAAACATATATTTTGTTGTGAATTATGATCTACCAAGATCCGCTTATTAACAGAGCTACTGTCAGTAATGGCTACAATATATAATATATTTGTTATCACAAATTGTACGGCTGTGATTAGTAATTATTTTATGTGGTAATCCCCAAGTCATATTTTGCTTATTTGCATATTACAATCGTTAGTTAGTTATCTGCTCTATTAGGGCTTAACAGAGCCATGCGAAATTAGGTTATAACAATTTATGGATTAATGCGGAAATAGCGGATTTAGAGTAGAGTATACTATGAATAATGCCAGCGTTGGGAAACATAAAGAACGTGTATCGGATTCAGTATTTTACACAGTACAACAGCAAATAGTAGAGTTGAGAAATGAGTGGAAGCTAATTATTTATAAAATCATAGGTTATTGCCATACTGTCAATAAATTTATACTGAGTTTTGTATCATATTTTCATCAGGGCTGAGGATTCTATTGGGGGTCTGCTTTAAGTTAAAATCATTTCGTATTTATGATAATATTGATATTTATGAAGTAGGCACCTGTAAATATGTGGTAATCGGAGTAGGCCCAAAAGGAGTAGGCCCATAGTTCTATCTTCGGACTTAATCTAGGCTTGGTAAATATAAAATTACTCTGTGGATTTACACATTTTCAAAATTCTAATCCTTTATGGGGTATCTATAGGTATGATATAAATTTGGTAAACATATTGTCCACATTTGGATTTATTGCATGCGGATTTATTACGGTGTACATTCAATGACTTCGCTTGAAATAAAATTAAGAACTTCTATCTTCGGACTTGATCTAGGCTTGGTAGATATAAAAATATTACTCTGTGGATTTACAAATGTTCAAAATGGTAATCATTTATGGAGGCATTTATAGGTAAGATATAAATTTGGTAAACATATTGTCCACAT